TACAGATTAGTAGTGAGCATGCTAGTTTATTTTATTTCCTTTTTGCACATGAACTATTGAACTAAATTATTTATTTATTTATTTTCTATGGGTTCTTTTTGCCGTCAAATTAAGACCATCTTTTGCAGCTTCTATGGGTGAAAGAAAATCTGCCCGACTCTTGGTCAATGGTCTTCAGGTGGATGGACTTGAGTGATTGGTTATCATACAGGTACTTGGATCTGCCAGCCAGTCATTTGATATGTGAAGCTTTTCAAAACTTTAGGGCTAATCAAGTTTGACGTGAATTTATTGATTAATCTTATATTTTTGCACAACTTTAGGGCCACAGGAGATGATACACGGAGTCTGTGTACCACAGTGTGCAAGTGGACATATCTTGGTCATGCACACATGCATCAAAACAATGAGAAAGATTCTCGAGATATGGAAGCTTGTGGATGGGATGATGATTTCTGGGAGGAGATTGGATTGAGTGATCTTGTAGATGGGCATCATGCTAAGATAGGTAAATGCTTGTAGACCTAAGTTCTCTATATATGTATATCTACTCAACACTGTCTTTATCTGAAAATAGTTCCAGTCTGCTTAAACATACAAGTCAATTTGAGTATTTAATTTCTTGTGCTACCATTTGGGACTTTTGGCTCCAGTTAGTAACTTGAGATGAAAACAGGACGAAGTGTAGCCTTCCCTGGCCATCCTCTGGGTTCTGGTCTCACATCAACTGCTGCGAAGGCAAGATATTTTGTACTGAAGATTTCACATTGATTTCAAGTGGCGCTCCCTTGAGGTCCATTAACTAAGCATACAATTTTAGTTGCTAGAATATGAGCACATCCCTTTTTTGGTGGGCTTTGGAGGGCGATTCACCATGATAATTTTTTGACCGCTATTCTGTGGTTAGTTTTTTAATATTTGAAGTAATTTGAATTTCAGGAATTAGGTCTTGTAGCAGGGATTCCTGTTGGAACGTCCCTAATTGATGCTCATGCCGGTGGTGTGGGGGTAATGGAAAGTGTGCCTTTGTCCGATTCTGAGCCTAAAGGTTGACAAGGCCTATTTGTTTTCCTTTTAGTTGTTCTAATTTAGTTTCTTAGCCTAAAGGTGATGCATTCTTCTAAATAACTGCTATATGTTCAGAGTCTGATAAGGAAGCTCTACGCCGTCGTATGGTGTTAGTCTGTGGAACTTCTACTTGCCATATGGCCATATCACAGAACAAGCTTTTTATTCCAGGGGTCTGGGGTCCATACTGGTCAGGTATGGAAATTTATAGATCCTTTTCTGTGTGAGTTTAATATCAATTGTATCATGTGATTGCTACATTTTTTAACACCCAAAACCTTCTATCCTTATGAGGAGAATTTTTCGGTTGTTGTGTCATTGTAAATGGCACACTTACTTTAATTACTCTTGTTCTCTTCAACATTTTCAGCTATGGTACCCGAACATTGGCTCACAGAAGGTGGCCAGAGTGCTACTGGTGCATTATTGGATTACATGGTAGAAAACCATGTCGCTTCTCCTCACCTTGCAAATCGTGCTGCTTCTCAACGTGAGATCCATTGCTCAACTTTTTTATGCTAATAGCTGCACTAAGATAAATGAGTTGAATGCCATTCATGGGAAAATTAAGCTACTGTCTCTGTCTCTCTCTAGGTATTTCTTTGTTTGAACTTCTGAACAAGATACTGGAAACAATGATGCTTGATCTGAAGCGTCCATTCCTTGCTTCTTTGACTGAAGATATGCATGTTCTTCCTGATTTTCACGGGAACAGGTATATCTTTATACGTTGAAATCTTGATTTCACTTTTCATAGTGTGACACATCTCAGCTGAAAGTTAAGCTGCTATGTTTGTGATGGCCCAGGTCGCCAATTGCAGACCCAAAAGCGAAAGGTATGTTGTGTGGCCTAACACTTGATACAAGTGAGAAGCAGTTGGCTCTTCAGTACCTTGCCACAGTACAAGGTATTGCATATGGTACGCGTCACATTGTAGAGCACTGCAATGCCCATGGTCACGAAGTAAGAATGCATGCTTTTCAATTCTTTTATTTTGTATACATCACTTTTAAATAGATAAGTTCAGAAAAGGGCATTTCTTATTAAACTTATAATATTCTTTAATGTATTTACACAGTCTCCCCCGCATTCAGAAGTATCACTTTAACTCGTCTTGAACCCATAGTGTATGTTACTTCTATAACTAATGTTACTCTTATTTTAAATAAGCACCCAATTTTGCCTTAATTTGTTTTTTAAAATTGTAATTAATCATATAATTAAGTATATGATTTATATAATTTTGACTTTGAACTTTTTATTTATGACATGTAATATTTATAGGTTGTCGTATAAAAGAGAAAGTTATTAGAATATATTTCAAACCGAGTACCTGAAATGGCCTCAATGCTTTAGATTGCTGCCTTGGAGAAAGGGATCACATACCTATGACTATATGTAACCGGTATGCTTGGTAATATGAAAGTAGACATCAATTGCGCTAATAAAAACTCTAGAAGTGATGGTGTTTTGGTGTCTATCGAGAATAAAGTTTGGTTGGTGATACCTTAGCTTCCAGTAGGCTCTCTCTTGATTTGTGCTGTACCAGTTTGGACGTCAGCCTGCCATGGTACCAAACTCAAAAACAAAAGGAACCATGCAAATGTTACTAGAGAAAGGGAAACGATTGAACTTCTCAAAGTGTAATGGAGTGGAGGCTACGAATTTAAAAGAGTAGTCATTGAATTCTGAAATAACCTAAAACCTGTAACCTTTTTTGAGTATCTGTTTCTTCCTTTGCAGATTGACACAATACTAGCATGTGGAGGCCTTGTTAAGAATGCGCTATTCATTCAAGAACATGCAGATATAATCGGTTCTCTCTCTCTCTCTCTCTCTCTCTCTCTCTCTCTCTCTCTCTCTGTATAACATACACATCAGCTGCCCCTCCTTTATGTTTGTAACATGCTTTTTATTTGTCTTTACATTGTTCTTTTATAAAAAAAAAAACTTTTTTCTTCAGAATGAACTTTTATTATCATCATTTTAAGATTTATCGTATCGTGCTTCTCTTTTATTTGAACTGGCTCTGTATGCTTAAGATTTTATGAAGAAAAAAAATGAATATATGGTTGATGTATCTACTGAGGATGTGGTTTGGCCAAATGAAACTTAATGATAATAATTATCCTTTTAATACACAAGTAAAAGCCTTTGTTTAAGCATGTACATAAACCTTGGACCTACTGTCTGTGATGCATTCAGGTTGCCCTATAATTCTTCCACGAGAAAGTGAGCCTGTGCTCTTGGGTGCTGCCATTCTTGGTGCTGTTGCTGCAAGGAAATATTGTAGTCTGCATGAGGCAATGAAGGCCCTAAATGCGGCGGGTCAGGTACTAATAATGGTTTTTTGAAATCATTTTATTAATTTTTAGAGAAAGTTTTTTCACTGCGGGACAATATTAGGTCTGAATTGAAACCTCGCAACATTTTCCAAGGCAGAGCTTGCATCTAGTTGTTTCCGTGCCTACTCTGAGGCATAGGGCTAAACGTGGTTCTTTTTCTTTCCCTTTCGTTTTTTCTTCTGAAAATTCCAGGGTTTTGTGGTTTTTGAGTCACAAAGATTGAACTGGTCTTGGAGGTGCCAATGGTGGCTACCCTATCACCAATCATTCGTATATTATTATTATTATTATTTCGAGGGGTGCCAAAAATGACAATCTAAACACTTCCATACATAAAAATATCTGTGGTGAAAGGCCACCCCCTTTTAGATGTGGACTCTGGGATCCCTTATTCTGTATGCATTTTCTATAAATATATATATTTTCTGCATGTGGCAGGTCATCCATCCATCCAAAGACCCTAAGGTGAAGAAGTACCATGATGCCAAGTACCGCATTTTCCGTGAACTTTATGAGCAGCAGCTATCTCATCGTTCCCTAATGGCTGAAGCCTTGGCGTAGGTTCTTTGTGTCAAGCTGGTGGCAGTAGGATGGTCCTCTGGCTCAATTGATTCATTTCTGTCTCTGGGGGCCTTCTGTATCGGAAGCGAAAACTGTTTGGCCTTTGTGAAGTTACTTGGTTGAACAAAACATATTTTTTTATGTAAAGCAATGACTTGAGCAACTCATTAAGGAGGTTTTTCAAAAGCCAAAGCAATGTACAGGTGAAGCAGGGCCCAAAAATTGAAAATTAGTACATAAAGAATATGTATAGGCTCATTTTGCCAAGTAGTTTCTCACTTTGTTATTCATATTTGAAATAATAATACGACAACCATTTACTTTCACAAATACTTGAATGATAAAGAGAAAGTATAAGAAAAGAAAAAAAAGAGCCCAAAAAACAAACAAAACAAGCAGTTTTCTGAAACATTATTATCAATTGATTCGTTTTTTTTTTTAATTAATAAAAGTAATATGTGGAGCTAGTTGCACCATCCTGGCAAAGGAAGTTAAGATTAGAGACCAACAGCAGACCAGTCTTCAAGTTTCTTGCACCGTAAAAGTCAACAACACATTGGTTAATGACTTGATTAGGAAATCATTATAGTAATCATTATCGTGTGCAACTGCAATCAGTTGTCTTAATTTACCAGTTCTGAACTTGTACAAATACTTCTTCAAACTAATGATTGTGTATAAAAATTTGCACATGTATACATGTATATACACAGAGCTTGCGTCTATCTTACCCGTTTCGCTTAAACAATTTGGTTCTAATACAATAGGGTGCATCATAATTTTGGAGAACTTATCTTATTCGAAGCAGACGAAACGAAACATGGAAGTTCATTCAAGAGAGACTGCCTGCCAGTATATATCACATTTTCCTTTAGGTCAAGGCTAAGGAATTGGAACATATATATCAATATCAAAGTCTTGATTAATTAATCTTTTGATTCATTTTACGGCATCATGCTATATATGTTAACTTATAAATTAGCGGTTTGGTTAGGGTGCTTAATTAATTATGGATTTGTTTGTCAATGGCTTCTAGGATCAAGGGCCTTAAAAGGATGCCCCCCCCCATCCCTGGTTGGTATAACTTAATCTTCATCATTGTCATGGAGAAGCCACAATCTCTTTTCCTTTTTGTACTTCTGTTAGTAGTGCACTGCCCATGCTTGTTGGTCATATCTTCTCCTTCCAACTTCACTGATCAATTTGCTTTGCTTGCCATTAAATCCAAACTCACATTTGACCCCACCAATACTGTTTTGGGTGGTAACTGGACCAACAAAACAAGCTTCTGTAATTGGATTGGGGTCTCTTGCAGTAGACGCAGGCCAAGAGTCACAGCCTTGGACCTCTTCTACATGGGGCTCCAAGGCACCATCTCCCCTCATATTGGCAACCTCTCCTTTCTTGTCTCACTTAATCTCCAGAATAACAGTTTCACTGGATTCCTGCCACATGAAATCAGTCGTTTACGTCGCTTGAGGATACTCATCCTTCAAGATAACCAGTTGCAAGGAAACATCCCTCCAACTTTACATCATTGCCAGAAGCTTGAGATCATCCTCCATTATTGGCCTAATATTCAAAAAATTCGTCTTTCTTTCAACCAACTCAGTGGCCACTTGCCCTCCGCAATAGACGAATGTAGAAAGCTTGTGCACTTGCGTTTAGCAGACAATAGGTTTGTGGGAAGTATTCCAGAAACAATTGGGAGTTTACAAAATCTGGAAATCCTTGCTCTTAGCTTTAATAGCCTAACTGGCAGCATACCTCCCACCATAGGTAACTTGTCGAGCTTGATCGAACTCAAGATAAGCTCTAGTAACATTACAGGAAGCATTCCGAGGGATTTGGGACATCTTTCGAATATACGTAGTTTGGAATTTTCCTCAAATGGCCTAACAGGTGCAATACCTCAAGAAATTTTTAACATCTCCTCTTTACAAGAATTGCACGCTCAAAATAATTCGCTTTCTGGAACTTTTCCTTCAATCGCTGGAGTTTGGCTTCCTAACCTACAAATTCTCGACCTTGGTTTCAATCAAATTACTGGAAATATCCCATCCTATTTTTCAAATTTTACTAAGCTTTCCCTAGTTCAAATGAACACAAACTTACTCTATGGATCCATACCACTGAATCTTGGCAGCTTAAAGCACCTCAAAATCATTAGTGTGGCAGAAATTTTACTAAGCTTTCCCTAGTTCAAATGAACACAAACTTACTCTATGGATCCATACCACTGAATCTTGGCAGCTTAAAGTACCTCAAAATCATTAGTGTGGCAGAAAACCAGTTAACAGGAGAACCTGGAGTTCCTCAACTAAGATTCCTTTCTTCTTTATTTAATTGCAGTTCCTTGGAAAGTTTAGTTGTGACTTATAATCCTCTAAATGGAATTATGCCCGATTCCTTTGGAAATATTTCGTATTCGTCCCTCCGTGATTTTTATGCACAAGGCTGCCAAATCAAAGGTCCAATGCCCACCACACTTGATTCCTTGACAACTTTAACCCTCCTTTCATTGGATCACAACAACATAAGTGGAAATTTGCCGCCATCATTGGGAGGAATGAGGAGCTTGCAGAGATTGGTTCTCCACAACAACAGCATTGAAGGACATATTCCCCATGAGCTTTGTCATACGAGAAATCTGGGAGAACTATCACTAGGAAATAACAAAATATCCGGATTGATCCCGGATTGCATAGGAAACCTCAACCACCTGCAGATACTTCTCCTCAATTCCAACAACTTGACATCATCAATACCAGTGAATTTATGGAACCTTGAAAGTCTCTTATTCTTAGATTTGTCATTCAATTCCTTCAGTGGAGAATTACCTGCAAGAATGAGAAACTTGATTTCTCTTCAAGGGATAGATTTATCTTGGAACCAAATCAGTGGGAACATTCCAAGCAACATTGGAGCTTTTCAAAGCCTAAACTATTTTAACATGTCAAACAACATGTTTATGGGACCTATTCCACAAACTTTTGGTGACCTAAAAGGGTAAGTATCGAAAAGGAAATGCAAGCATAATTTCGAGTTCAGCTGAAGAGTTACTGGGAACAAAGCATAGAATGATATCATATCATGAACTCCGTTGCGCTACGAATGATTTCTGCGAAAGCAACTTGCTTGGAGCAGGAAGTTTTGGCTCTGTGTATAAAGGGATTCTATCTGATGGGACAATTGTCGCGGTCAAAGTTTTAAATATGCAAATGGAACGTGCTTCGAAAAGTTTCAATGCAGAATGCAATGTGTGGCGAGCAATCCGGCATAGAAATCTTGTCAAGGTGATAACTTCTTGCTCGAGCCCTGAGGTAAGAGCTCTGGTGTTGCAGTACATGTCTAATGGTAGCCTTGAGAAGTGGTTGTACTCTCACAATTATTGTCTAAATCTTTTGCAAAGAGTTAGCGTGTTGGTTGATGTTGCATTAGCTTTGGAATATCTCCATCATGGTCAGTCAGAACTTGTGGTGCATTGTGATTTGAAGCCTAGCAATATCCTTCTGGATGATGAGATGGTTGCACATGTGGGAGACTTCGGCCTTGCTAAAATTTTAGCAAATATTAAGGATGCAACACAAACCAGAACTCTTGGTACGCTTGGTTATATTTCACCAGGTAAATTTAATTTTTTTTTCATTACTGGCAGCCTCGAAGAAAAAATTGTGAATGTCATTTAATTAATTTTTTACTTCAATATTGAATGTTCATGCTTGGTTGATTTCTTGATTAATTTTTTTTCTTCTTATAATTGCTTTACAATCAATGTTTGTTTGCAGAGTATGGTTATGCAGGAATAGTGTCAACAAGAGGTGATGTATATAGCTTTGGGATTATGTTGTTGGAACTAATTGTGAGAAAGAAGCCTACAGATGAAATGTTTGCTGAAGAATTGAGTTTGCGGCAGTGGATAAACGCGTCGCTCACTGATAGGGTTCTGGAAGTGGTAGATATAGGTTTATTGAACACAGAAGAGGGAAGAGACATGAATGCCACAGAAGACATCATTTTTTCAATCATGGAAATAGGACTGAGGTGTTCTGAAGATGTGCCAGAGAAAAGAATGGACATCAAGGATGTGGTGCCCCAGCTCATGAAAATAAAATTGGGACTTGAAAGTAGTAGAAATTAAGGTTGTTTAATATTTGTGAGATTGTCTTGGTTCTCCCAGTTTGAAAAGAAACTTTCCATTTTCTCTGTTTTCCTTGTTTCAGTAATGGTATTAGATAGAAAATATAATAATCAAAGTTCTATATTAAAATCAAAGCTATGTCTAGGGTGGCCATTTGAACCGATGAACCAGTAAACTGAGTCTAAAAACCGGAAAAAAACACCACGTTGAACCAAAAAAGTTAACTTCGGCTCCAAAACCGAACCATACCGCTTTGGATCAATTCGAGTTGCCGCCATCATTGGGAGGAATGAGGAGCTTGCAGAGATTGGTTCTCCACAACAACAGCATTGAAGGACATATTCCCTATGAGCTTTGTCATACGAGAAATCTGGGAGAACTATCACTAGGAAATAACAAAATATCCGGATTGATCCCGGATTGCATAGGAAACCTCAACCACCTGCAGATACTTCTCCTCAATTCCAACAACTTGACATCATCAATACCAGTGAATTTATGGAACCTTGAAAGTCTCTTATTCTTAGATTTGTCATTCAATTCCTTCAGTGGAGAATTACCTGCAAGAATGAGAAACTTGATTTCTCTTCAAGGGATAGATTTATCTTGGAACCAAATCAGTGGGAACATTCCAAGCAACATTGGAGCTTTTCAAAGCCTAAACTATTTTAACATGTCAAACAACATGTTTATGGGACCTATTCCACAAACTTTTGGTGACCTAAAAGGGTTGGAATTCTTGGATCTATCCGACAATAATCTGTCAGGTGCAATACCAAAATCTCTGGAAACACTCAAATATCTCAAATACATAAATCTCTCTTTCAATCAGCTCTCTGGGGAAATTCCTTCTGAGGGACCATTTGTCAACTTCACTCCTCAATCATTTCTGGAGAACCGAGCACTTTGTGGGAAGCAAGATTTTGGAGTTCCACCTTGCAAGGGTCGTAGAGCACAAAAATCAAAGAGGGTTCATCGTTTGCTCAAATATACTCTTCCAGTAATTGCATCGACGATAGTTCTCATTGCTCTACTTTTTTTTATCTGCACAAAGTATCGAAAAGGAAATGCAAGCATAATTTCGAGTTCAGCTGAAGAGTTACTGGGAACAAAGCATAGAATGATATCATATCATGAACTCCGTTGCGCTACGAATGATTTCTGCGAAAGCAACTTGCTTGGAGCAGGAAGTTTTGGCTCTGTGTATAAAGGGATTCTATCTGATGGGACAATTGTCGCGGTCAAAGTTTTAAATATGCAAATGGAACGTGCTTCGAAAAGTTTCAATGCAGAATGCAATGTGTGGCGAGCAATCCGGCATAGAAATCTTGTCAAGGTGATAACTTCTTGCTCGAGCCCTGAGGTAAGAGCTCTGGTGTTGCAGTACATGTCTAATGGTAGCCTTGAGAAGTGGTTGTACTCTCACAATTATTGTCTAAATCTTTTGCAAAGAGTTAGCGTGTTGGTTGATGTTGCATTAGCTTTGGAATATCTCCATCATGGTCAGTCAGAACTTGTGGTGCATTGTGATTTGAAGCCTAGCAATATCCTTCTGGATGATGAGATGGTTGCACATGTGGGAGACTTCGGCCTTGCTAAAATTTTAGCAAATATTAAGGATGCAACACAAACCAGAACTCTTGGTACGCTTGGTTATATTTCACCAGGTAAATTTAATTTTTTTTTCATTACTGGCAGCCTCGAAGAAAAAATTGTGAATGTCATTTAATTAATTTTTTACTTCAATATTGAATGTTCATGCTTGGTTGATTTCTTGATTAATTTTTTTTCTTCTTATAATTGCTTTACAATCAATGTTTGTTTGCAGAGTATGGTTATGCAGGAATAGTGTCAACAAGAGGTGATGTATATAGCTTTGGGATTATGTTGTTGGAACTAATTGTGAGAAAGAAGCCTACAGATGAAATGTTTGCTGAAGAATTGAGTTTGCGGCAGTGGATAAACGCGTCGCTCACTGATAGGGTTCTGGAAGTGGTAGATATAGGTTTATTGAACACAGAAGAGGGAAGAGACATGAATGCCACAGAAGACATCATTTTTTCAATCATGGAAATAGGACTGAGGTGTTCTGAAGATGTGCCAGAGAAAAGAATGGACATCAAGGATGTGGTGCCCCAGCTCATGAAAATAAAATTGGGACTTGAAAGTAGTAGAAATTAAGGTTGTTTAATATTTGTGAGATTGTCTTGGTTCTCCCAGTTTGAAAAGAAACTTTCCATTTTCTCTGTTTTCCTTGTTTCAGTAATGGTATTAGATAGAAAACATAATAATCAAAGTTCTATATTAAAATCAAAGCTATGTCTAGGGTGGCCATTTGAACTGATGAACCAGTAAACTGAGTCTAAAAACCGGAAAAAAACACCACGTTGACCAAAAAAGTTAACTTTGGCTCCAAAACCGAACCATACCGCTTTGGATCAATTCGAGAATCGGTTCTTGACTTAGAATTTCAAATGTGGCTCTGGGCTACAACTCACTCAAAGCCTAAGCTTGGGTCCGCCATCAAATTTATGGGCTACTATTTTGTAAATAAAAAAAAAAAAGGTAAAACAGTTATGCTATGCACCATAGTTTTTTACGAAAAGGTTCTATCAAAATAATCCATTTTTAATTTCATTTAAGCTATTTTAACCGTAAATTTCAAATTTTACCATCTTAATTATTTTTGCAATTTTGTTTGAGAGACTATACATATATGTATACTAGCCTCTTCACAAGCGCTTCTGCGCTTGCGAGAGGCTTTTTTTTTAAAAAAATTTAAAATTATTTTAGAATTAAAAAAGATAATGGGTAGTTGTGTTCCATAAAAATAGGATCCATTTTCTGATTTTTCTTTTAATTTTAATTTTTTTAAATATGAAAAAGTGTGAATTTACCATATTATCCTCATTTAATTAATAATTTCAATTCTTAATGTTTGCATTAACCAAGGGCATTTTTGATATTTTGAATGTTTCACGATTCCCTGACTTTTGCTTTATATATATAGATTATATGTACAAAGATGTCCAGCCCATGCCCTTGCCCTATCCCAACCTCCAGCCCTTCATCATTGTCCTATTTTTAGCCAATACCTTTGTGCCTCAATGCTAACTTGTCATCTATATACTGGTGATTAGTTCAAAATTGTTTACCCCTTGATATATATATATATATATTGAACCTGTTCAAAGCTTAAGTAAAATTCCCCATTAACCCTTTGACCATTAATGGTTTCAAGAATTAACTTTCTTTTATGTGAACGTGCCACTGTTAGCAACTTTAGAGTTCTAAAATATTTGAATGACTTTATATACTTGCGCCCCAAGTAATAGATTTTGGACAAACAATTGTGATTTTGGGTGGGAAAACCTCCCAAGAGAGTTATTTTCTATGCCTCAGACTGGTGAGGACTTCATAATTTACCTAGATAAAAGTGGTAAGTAAAGCAAAATAAACGAATTTATGAAATATATAACAAACTCATCCAAGTAGAACTGCATGAAATACAAAGCATAAAATGGATTGCTAAGTCTAGATAGGCCTAAGAGTTTTAGACTTTGACTTCTGCTAAAAATACAGTCACAACGATGGTTTTGAGATTAGGCTGGACTGGATGTTTCCGCACTAGAATTGCTCGTCAGCACCTTTAGCTTAATAGAGATTAACTGGAAATCGATACCTGTGTTGAGATTGGTAGAGCTATAAACAAGTTGAGCCATGTGGAGGCTAGCAAGGTGAGCAGAATTGCAGGTGAGTACATGAATTTAATTTTTTTTTCATTACTGGCAGCCTCGAAGAAAAAATTGTGAATGTCATTTAATTAATTTTTTACTTCAATATTGAATGTTCATGCTTGGTTGATTTCTTGATTAATTTTTTTTCTTCTTATAATTGCTTTACAATCAATGTTTGTTTGCAGAGTATGGTTATGCAGGAATAGTGTCAACAAGAGGTGATGTATATAGCTTTGGGATTATGTTGTTGGAACTAATTGTGAGAAAGAAGCCTACAGATGAAATGTTTGCTGAAGAATTGAGTTTGCGGCAGTGGATAAACGCGTCGCTCACTGATAGGGTTCTGGAAGTGGTAGATATAGGTTTATTGAACACAGAAGAGGGAAGAGACATGAATGCCACAGAAGACATCATTTTTTCAATCATGGAAATAGGACTGAGGTGTTCTGAAGATGTGCCAGAGAAAAGAATGGACATCAAGGATGTGGTGCCCCAGCTCATGAAAATAAAATTGGGACTTGAAAGTAGTAGAAATTAAGGTTGTTTAATATTTGTGAGATTGTCTTGGTTCTCCCAGTTTGAAAAGAAACTTTCCATTTTCTCTGTTTTCCTTGTTTCAGTAATGGTATTAGATAGAAAACATAATAATCAAAGTTCTATATTAAAATCAAAGCTATGTCTAGGGTGGCCATTTGAACTGATGAACCAGTAAACTGAGTCTAAAAACCGGAAAAAAACACCACGTTGAACCAAAAAAGTTAACTTCGGCTCCAAAACCGAACCATACCGCTTTGGATCAATTCGAGTATCGGTTCTTGACTTAGAATTTCAAATGTGGCTCTGGGCTACAACTCACTCAAAGCCTAAGCTTGGGTCCGCCATCAAATTTATGGGCTACTATTTTGTAAATAAAAAAAAAAAAGGTAAAACAGTTATGCTATGCACCATAGTTTTTTACGAAAAGGTTCTATCAAAATAATCCATTTTTAATTTCATTTAAGCTATTTTAACCGTAAATTTCAAATTTTACCATCTTAATTATTTTTGCAATTTTGTTTGAGAGACTATACATATATGTATACTAGCCTCTTCACAAGCGCTTCTGCGCTTGCGAGAGGCTTTTTTTTAAAAAAATTTTAAAATTTATTTTAGAATTAAAAAAGATAATGGGTAGTTGTGTTCCATAAAAATAGGATCCATTTTCTGATTTTTCTTTTAATTTTAATTTTTTTAAATATGAAAAAGTGTGAATTTACCATATTATCCTCATTTAATTAATAATTTCAATTCTTAATGTTTGCATTAACCAAGGGCATTTTTGATATTTTGAATGTTTCACGATTCCCTGACTTTTGCTTTATATATATAGATTATATGTACAAAGATGTCCAGCCCATGCCCTTGCCCTATCCCAACCTCCAGCCCTTCATCATTGTCCTATTTTTAGCCAATACCTTTGTGCCTCAATGCTAACTTGTCATCTATATACTGGTGATTAGTTCAAAATTGTTTACCCCTTGATATATATATATATATATTGAACCTGTTCAAAGCTTAAGTAAAATTCCCCATTAACCCTTTGACCATTAATGGTTTCAAGAATTAACTTTCTTTTATGTGAACGTGCCACTGTTAGCAACTTTAGAGTTCTAAAATATTTGAATGACTTTATATACTTGCGCCCCAAGTAATAGATTTTGGACAAACAATTGTGATTTTGGGTGGGAAAACCTCCCAAGAGAGTTATTTTCTATGCCTCAGACTGGTGAGGACTTCATAATTTACCTAGATAAAAGTGGTAAGTAAAGCAAAATAAACGAATTTATGAAATATATAACAAACTCATCCAAGTAGAACTGCATGAAATACAAAGCATAAAATGGATTGCTAAGTCTAGATAGGCCTAAGAGTTTTAGACTTTGACTTCTGCTAAAAATACAGTCACAACGATGGTTTTGAGATTAGGCTGGACTGGATGTTTCCGCACTAGAATTGCTCGTCAGCACCTTTAGCTTAATAGAGATTAACTGGAAATCGATACCTGTGTTGAGATTGGTAGAGCTATAAACAAGTTGAGCCATGTGGAGGCTAGCAAGGTGAGCAGAATTGCAGGTGAGTACATGTTCTGGTTGATTCTGAATGATCTGGATGCTATCTAGACAATTTTAAGACACTGTTTGTGCCTAATAAATCACGGCCATGAATTGGCCGAAGGAGCCCTTTTTCTCGACCCTAGCACTTTCTCGAGAAGCTAAAACGCAGCGTTTCGCCAAGGTGCTTTGCCTTCCTGAAGACAAAAGAAAAACGCTAAGGCATGTTTATCTCAGCCTCGATTGCGGGCCGAGGCCGAGGCCGAGCAAAATCGCGGCCAGAAATATTAAAGTCAGATCATCACGTGATAGCAGGGACCCATGGTTCATTTAATGAAGTAGTGCCTGTTTAATGCAGCAAACCCACTAACCACGAATAAGCATTTAATGCACGAAGGAAGGTGGGAAGTGATTGAAGTCAGGATTTGGTGATGAGGATCAGAGTGATTAGACGTAGACATTCTCACAAGAATTCTGACAGCTTGAGATATTAGGTCACCAGCTATCAAGGCCATAAATGCGTCTCCACGGCCAGAAGCGCAGAGTCCATGATCGGGGCGGCGGCCGAGATTCACCAGGATTTATGGGGTCCCACGGAGCAACTTATTTTTTCCTGTAATGCACTTTCAATATCTTTACTTGCTTTCCTAGGAGTAGTGTTAGACTGTAAGGAAAATTCATTCATCAATATATCATACGACCCTTGATTTTCAAGGCGCCGGAGCACCATCCCTGTTGTTCGTTCACTCACCCCATATATCATACGACCGTCGCTCCCTGAGCGACGCGCCAGAGCACCGCCCAAAACCCACCACCAACACCATCACTCAACGGCCTTGTAGTTCAGGCCGTGAACCTAACAGCCGAGATTAGTTCCTCTCTCGGCTACAATCGTTTGATTAGAAGACGAGTTCAAACAGGCGCACCACTTATCCATCCTACACTCATCAACATCTCGACGCACGGTAGACCGTGCTGGCACGCCCGCGCACAACCGCACCGCACCCAAAAGCAGGAAGTCGCGTGTCAACGCATATCCCCTCGGCCCGGAACTCCAGGCCGTGAGATTTGCGCGGTAGACAGACACTAAGATGTCTTTCAAAAGTCTTGTTAAGGTTTTCAAATGATGAAATATCCGACTTTCTTGATCTATTTAATTTGCTAAACCAAATTTGTAAGAGAAATTAATCTCTTTTGAATTGTTTGATTTACCTTGTTTGAATTGCAAGGGAAATCTTGGTTTTTCTTGGTGTTCTGGACTTCTTCTTGAGCTAGATTGCTTCTTAAGGAAAACTGCTTGCTTACTTTTGGTAGTTGCAAGATTGTGTGATCTCTAATTTCTTTTGATCAATCGGGATTGATTGTTGAGTTTTTCTTTTGCTTGATTGGTTGGTTGGTTGGTTAGGTGTCTGTTTTCTAGTCTAGGCATTCTTGTGTTTATAGGAAAAAAAAATGTGATGATTGAATAATGCTGGATCTTTCCAATTTTTGGACTAGTCCCTCATTAATGCCCAAGTGGCAAAAGTTTTGTCAGATAATGCATTGATCATTTTTTGGCCTTTGGTTATCAATGTTCTGGAATGCCTCTTGATCGTTCCTTTTGCAAAATTCTAAATTGAACTGAGCAATAATGCCCAGATTTTTCTGACGTTGGTACCATAAATATCCAAATATCCCAGTAGTAGAAAAAAAAAATCCGATGATTTGCAATAAATAACTGTGACTTTTAACTAAAGCAAGACTGACCTTACTTTCCAGCTTTTAAGGTCATCAATTTTCTTTGGAATTTAGTCACCAATGGTGAGGATTTAACCTGACAAACCTTAATAGCTAAGAAACTGTGCATTTTGGCTCTAGTGCGTCCTTTGCACAAATAACAGAGTTTAAGTGGGTTTAAGTGGGGTGTCAGATGTCAAAAAATTAAAGTAGGAACAGGGAGGAATAGAGAAAAACATGGATAGAGGATCTGAAGCCATAAAATACCCTTAGATATTTAAACTTCTTTAAAATCCATTAAAAAATTGAATACAAAACCAGTTTGTGCCCAATATGCCAATTCCACTGTCACGCCCTGGACCAGGGGGTCGGTGGAAACCCCACGCCCTGTGCGTGAGAAAATAAAAAGTAAAATAAAAAGAAGCCTGGACATAAAATAAACTTTTCTTATAAAAGTAGCTCCCAAAATCTTACAACTTTACAATTAATAAATAAAGCTCTATCACTCTCATCTAATTCAGCTTCAACTGATTTAGTCTTTGTCTTGCCCACTAATTCATCTGAAAAATTAAACAAGGTGAGGGATGAGCAACAACTGCTCAGTGAGTAGATTATGTAATATGCCAGTCTAGCAATGCCGTTTTACACACTCTAGAAAATATCATGAAAAGATATACCAATCCAGATCATATCACATCATCCCTTCATATCTCGATTATCCTTCATAGCATATAACCAATCATGCGACCCCTAGACCCCTCGGATACTCCAACATTGAAATTCTCATGTTCCATGAATAATACATACTTCATAAATATTCCAATCAATATATGTATAGTGTGAAAGATTGCACCAAATTAGACATGCTTAACTTGAAATAGAGAGATATTTGTAAATAGAACAAATCCACGATAATTCATGGTTTTTATATTTTATCGCAAAATAAGAACTTTTAGAACACGTTACATAAACCACTCACCTCGATAATGAGAGCCCTTAAAATAAATTGGCAAGACAACCCATTTACCTATCTTCATATACTATCACTCAAACCAAGCTCCAAGAGTTTCATCACCACTCTCACTCCTTCTTTCTCTCTTACTTTCTCTCTCATTTCTCATGCAAACTATGCATGTCTTTCTCTAGATGTAGTAAACCATTTGTAAATGTAGACTCCTATTTATAATAGTAGAAGTAGGCGACAAGAAATCCCTCATTGGTTAATATTCTTGGCGGCAACAATATAGGATAACAATAACTTGATGTTATCTCCAATCTTTGCCACCTAGCAAGAATGGTGGCACCATCTCTAGCTACAATACTCTTGATCTAACACCTCATGCTAATACCAAAAATATCTTTTAAGCCTTAACTCCTAAGTTTTCAATAACATACAATATAATTTATGACAAGAAGGTTTGTCCAAATCTATCACTCAACTTAAATATCTATCAAAATATACTAAGATTGACCTCAACATGCACACTACCATGCAAATAATATATATATATATATATATATAATTTATAAATTAAATGGCAAAATATTACATCTTCAAATTATATAATTTTATAAATACGGGGTTTCACATCCACCCAACCTGATTTTTGGGTTGTCTGCTAGATAATGATTGGACTTTTTTTCTTGTGTTTAAATTTTAAAAAAGGTATGTTGTGAGTATAATGCTAAAAAGAAAAAGACCATATTTTTGTATCACATTTGAATACTGTAT